ATCTATCTATCTATCTATCTATCTATCTATCTATCTATCTATCTATCTATCTATCTATCTATTTATCTATCTATCTATCTTCTATCTGCTTACCAATTTTTCCATATTCACTTCAGAGTGATCTCAGACCCAAGAAACTCCATTATTTATTGATGTTGAGAATAAATTTGCATTCATCTGCATGGACAGGTTGGGGACTCTTTGTGAAAACCAGAATTTGTGAAATTCTTGGCCAGTGCCACATACACCTGTTATGGTAAGACACAGTCTTACATAGACCAGGAAAAGATTGTTTTTCATAATTTAAAAAAATCACATTTTGGCAGAAGAAAACACATATTATGGCAGAATTATATTAGAGAACAAGCACAAATTACCTAAATGTTAGGAAGTTGACTTAAAAATTCCTTCCACAATTAACATTGTTTTGGTATCTTTGGTAGTGATATGCTCAACTTCTTATAAAAGATACATTTGCATCATAGTCAAGAGAGGCAGTATAGGTAATGGATATGAAACCTGCCTTCAAGTTAGGAAGACCAAAGTTTAAGTCCCATCCCTGATACATATTGGCTATATGGCCCTGGATAAATCACTTAATTCTTAGTATTCTAGGGAATTTGTAGTTGCAGAGAAAGTGGAGATCTGCATTAGTGGAGAGAGTTAACTTATCTGAGAGTTCTAATGTCAGTGGAATCACATGTGCACTTCCCCTCCTATCAGTTACTTTTCATAACTTTGAATACTGTCTTATGGGAATCTTGACATCATTGCTGAATACATTTAAGAGTTAAGCCCAGAAAGAAACGCCTGAATTAGTCTAGACCTATGCCATAGCAAAGTTACAAGATATTCCCAAATTTTTTTCTTGAGCTATCCCAGAAGAAATCACATTTTGCAGGGTCAAGGAAGTCCCTTCTCCCTTTCCTTAGCAGTTCTTACCCGGAGGATGTCCCCAAATTCTCTCTGAAGAAGATTCTTCAGGGCTTTTTTGCTCAGTGCTGTTCCATCAGAATCACTTTGTGCATATTGCTTGTAAACTTCGACGATATCAATGATGCTTTTCAGTAGCTGAGGCATTTTTTCCCTGCAAATTTAAGTAAACCTGGAAGAATAAAATAGGGCATTCATGGAATCACTGGGCTTGAGTCAAAGGCTGTTGCTCTACTCTTAATCAGGTTTCAACTCCACTGTTATAGTCAGATAGTGTCTATTCCAGGAGTAACTATTTCCGTCTGAATACTTATATTTATACTTATAAAACCAGGAACTAGTTTTCTACTATGACCTTCAAAAGAATGTCAAATATGAATATTGTCTTTAGAAAAGAAAGCAGAAACATTAATAAAAATTGTTGTAAGAGGAAGTATGGTATAGTGGATAAAGTGTTGGACTTGAAGGCAAGAAGAAAATCCTGCCTCAGTTGCTTACTAGCTGTGTCTTGGTTTCCTCAATCTTTCCAGCTCTAAATCTGTTACCCTATTTTATTTATATAGCACATTGTTGTTGTTTTTTTTTGGCTAGGCAAGGGGCTTAAGTGACTTGTCCAGGGTCACACAGCTAGTAAGTGACAGTGTCTGAGGTCGGATTTGATCTCAGGTCCTCTTGACTTCAGGGCCAGTGCTTTATCCACTGTGCCACCTAGCTGCCCCTATTATTATTATTATTATTGTTATTATTATTATTATTATTTTGGTGAGACAGTTGGGGTTAAGTGACTTGCCCAGAGTCACACAGTCACACAACTAAGAGTGTTATGTGTCTGAAGCCAGATTTGAACTCAGGTCCTCCTGACTCCAGGGCCAGTGCTCTACCCACTATGCCATCTAGCTGCCCTATACAGCACTTTAAAAACTTATGAAGCACTATATATACATCCTGGGGAAAAGCAAAGGAGTGACCAAGGAGCAGGGTGGTAGGAATAACACTGGATTCTGAGTCACAAGATGTGGGATTAAATCCTGTCTTTGCCACTAACTTTCCACTTGGCCTTGGACAAATCACTTCATCTCTCTGGGACTCATTTTCCTTATCTGGCAAATAAGGGGGTTGGACTACATTATCATTGACGTAGCTTCAATCTCTAAATCCTATGAACCTGTGAATCTGCTTCAAGTTAATCTGTAGTCAACTCTTGGTTGTCCAACCTTTGAAATATTTGCATAATATAGCCTTCATTGGTACCATTTAAAAGAGCAGACAAAGAAATAAGACAGCTTCTTTGGGTCTCAGTTTTCTCATCTGTAAGATGAAGAGGTTGGATTCAATAACCCTTAAAATTCTTTTCACCTCCCAATCTGTGATTCTGTGAAAGGAATGTTAAATCAGCCTCTCTTTCTGCTCATAACCAGTTCTCTGTAAAAGTGAGCAAAAGAGGAAGGCAAAAGCTATTTGGGTGAAGTGGTTAGAAACTTTCACATAGTTACACTTTTAAGGCAACTGTATACAAACACATACATACACAACATATACATATGTTATATATATGACATGTACATATATATGCATATTAGCAATTAGAACAATGAAATGGGCAACTGACTTCCCCCAGGTTATGCAACCAACCCACAGAGAAGCAGACATCAAAATTGCAAGTTACCAGTTCCCCATTATACCATCACTAAATATTATTCCTTCTAAATGCTAAAATCAGCACCTAATGTTACAACTGCCAGGTAGACATTCAGCTCAACACATCACATTTTCAAATGAAGAAAGAATGTTATATAAGTTCAGTCAGCTCCCCTACATCTAACACCTGTGAAAAGCATCTGAGAGACCATCCCTGGGAGGGCAACATTATGAGGACAGACCAAAAACTTTGAACAGAACTGACTTTTTGGTTAACTTTTTATTTCAAAACAAATAAATCACTTAAATCTCACCAATATAGCAGAATCACCCTCTCCCCCAAATGAACCTATCAAGGCTCAGGCAGAAGCAGACCTCTCTTAAAACAATGCATCAGACAACTCTATTAGCTATAAATTTTGCCTTGGTTTACCTATTCTCTTTGTCATAATCAGTCTCTGAAACCTATAACTTGACAGTTAACTACATTTCAGCTGAAGAAAACAAGGAAACACAGAGGGGACAAAGACAGCACAAGATGCAACTGTTGTACCAGGTGTCCTAAAAATCTTAGAGAAATTTTTAAGGTTAAAACTGCCCTAAGACTTTTGGGACACTGTAATAACCTTGAAGAAGAAATAGCTAAAAGAGAGTGCTCTCTAGGACCTAGATCATGAATAACTTAACTTCAAAATGAAGCAAAGACAGAGATTAGAAACCTCTGAAAAGGAGTCAATTCCCCAGACCCCCACAAAACCTTTCCAAATGCATAGGTCCCCACAAACATCTCCCTCGGCTCAAAGCAAAGTATCACTTGGAAGAACAAGATCCCACAGAATGGGACTTACCCACTTCACCAGAGGAAGAAGTCAAGTGTTCGTTGACAAGGCTGGCAAGGGTACTGAGTATATGAGAGCAGGGCCTTTTATAGGGGTTTTAATTGTGCCCTAGAGAGCCACTTAGGAAGGAGACACCCACTCTGAGGGATGGCCTGATTCATTCCCACCCAAGCCCGGCTCCACCTCTAACTTCATGAATGGTGTGTTTATGTCACCATATGCTCACGTAGCTGTTTAGCATGGCATACATAGCCCTTGCCTGGCACTCTGGGTTCTGGCTCCACCTAACCTTAAGCACGTGTGTGTGTAGGTATGGGGTGGGGTGGAGGGGGGCTGGGAGACACTTGGAAGAAATTCTGATTTTTTTAGTTGAGAATAGTTCCTACATCTCAGTTTAGTTGCATGAGAAGATGCTTTATAAAGCATGTAGGTTACTACCTACAAACCATTGAACTTCATGTTAGCCAGATTGTTAGAAGAAGTGATTGAAGTTAATCTCATACTTTGATATAAGACAGAATAACACAATTTGATATCCCCACCTAAAGATTCTCACAGTTAGTGGGAATCTGCACATGATTACTACACTGTAATGGTTTTGTCTCAAGCACCAGAAATGAGGAGTGAGTTTATTTGTACATGTATAATATGCACAGGCATATATCATACATACAAATGCCTATACATATGTACACATATGTGTATGTAACACATACACACATATTCTTTCCCCAAAGGTGATCATGGCAGAACATACAAACTTTACATTTCTAAGCCATCTTAGAGAATCCTTTACCAAACTTCAAAGCACAGATCAGGTGTGATCTCCTATATGAATCCTTTCCTGAGTCCCCCAGTTATTAGCATTCCCCCTCTTAAAATTACTTTGTATGTAGTTGAGATTTATTTAATTATGTGCCAGTTGTATTCTTCCTAGGAGAATGTAGGTCCTTGATGGGCAGGTACTCTTTTTATCTTTGTATCATTAGCACCTAGCACCCTAGTGCCTTGTACCCGGTAGGTGTTTAAGAAATGCTTATTGAACTGAATTGAAATAGGATTTTATATAGGTGATTGACTTCTTATAGCAATGGCAAACTATTTTGGAGGTGATATTATTATTATTATTATTATTTCTAAAACATTCATAAAGAGAACTCAAAATTGGGGAATTCCAGTTTTGAAAACACCACATAGAAAAGTTTAGTTTTTCTTATCTCATTAGCATACGAATGCCTCTAGGGGAACAAACTTGGCGTAATGCATTACTGCAGAGATAGTCATCATCCTGGACCTAAGTAGCTAATGGTTATGACACCTAAGCACTTTAGTCTGCTGCTCTCCTAAGAGACTCATTAAGGTAATAGGTCATTCTTTCCCATTACATCCATCAGGACTTTCTCAACATGGGTTGGGATTTGCAATTTGAAAATCTGTTTTGTTGTAAAGAAATGGATTTTATTTTTGTTCGTCAGTACTTCCTCCCCGTTCATTTTGGAGCCTCTGAAGCACTGGGGTATGAGAGCTTTATGGAGACCACTGAATGATTCAGCTGTGGTGTGACAGATCAGTTCCTCCTTTTATCCTGTAGAAGACACTGACTTTATAAAGGTTTGACAATTTCAATGGCACCTTGGAGTGAGTGAGCTTTGGAGATGCAATATCTCACTACTTGAAATGTAGTTTTTTGTGTGAGCAAGTTGGCCAGATGATACGGAATTTAGTTTTGTTTGCTGGCTTTTTTTTGGCATCAGCCCAACTGAATGATAAAGCCCCAAGTCAAATGGGAAATGAGGCAGTAGGATTCTAGTTGGGGTAGTTGGACAGTGAACAAGGGCAACAGTTGCTTCCTTCTGCCCTGAGTTCTATGACCTTAGGGATTTCTGGGAGGGTCCAGGGTGATTAGTTATCAGTTAACCTTTGGGATACAGTGCATACTTAGTCTTGGGAACAACAACTATGCCTTCTGTTTCGGCACTGTTTAACATAAACCCCGTAACAAGCCATGAATCCAATAGACAGATGGGGACTGTTCTTTAGGATTTCTTAGAACATCAACTTGAGCCCTGACTTTTCTTAGGTAGGAGTAGCTTTTTGTCTTCTAAGTTGCATGTACTTCATTAGGACCTGTTTCAAGTGCTGGCATTGGGTCTGCTTTTAATTCTACCCATTTGCATTTGTTCCTGACCTTCTGGGGATTCCCAATTCAACTGAAGGCTTGGATAATTGGGTTTCATTTCTTGTTCAATGACCAGAATGCTATGAACTGACTTAGTCTAGTATACCCTCCAAAGAGCTGGACAATATATGGGTTCTCTGAATGGAATGATATAATTTGCTATACTTAAATGATTGTTGATGAAGCTAAACAAATATAGGGGAAGGTAAAAGCACAATCATGCTTTTGAACAACCTATAGGAGAGTGTTTGAAGTAGCACTGATTTTACCATGGAGACCTCATGTTTATTTTTTCAAAATAACCACAGATCTTATGCCCCATTGATGGACATTTTTTTGACTACTTAAACTTAAGGAATTAAGTTCACCACGGGTTCAATGGCAAAGTTTCTACTGAAAACCTGCATGAACAGCAAAATGTTACCATCCTCTCCTTTTTCTTGCCCTGCTTCAGTGGTGGTTTCAAATGATTTGGAGTTTTATTTTCTAAAACAAGGTCAGATATTCTCTAACAAAGTTGCCCTTACAGTTTCATAAATTAAATGCCCACTTAACATGGTGTAACTATTAACAAAAGACATTCTTTTAAAAGGAAGACCTGCAGTGAGATTCAAAAATGGAGATAATTTTGGTTGTTTTCCAGCTATCTGGGAGGTCTGCAGATTATGGAAAATTGTCAAGCAAGGACAAATTGGTTTGGTCTATTCTTATGTAAGAGTGATTGACAATCCTTAGAATCACTTACTTTAGACTCATCTTGGTTTGTCAACAAAGAATGGAGATTTTTATCAACACATCTCCATATTCTTTATTAGCAAACACATCTCATTTATCGCTGTTTTTATGATTTGGGAGATGGAGGTACCAAGAGGTCAGAGAGCATTCTGGACTTGGGACAAGGAATGAATCCCAAGCATCTTAGCTCCAGGAGTGCATGAGTTGGCTCCCAAACCAAGGGCCAGAGTCTATCATGTCCCTAGAAAAAGGGACTGGGTTTTTATTATCACAGAGATACCAAGAAGAACAAGTGAAAGTTGTATCATTTAAACTGCCCCCATGTTTCCTAGCCACCTCAGACTTTGATATTTACAGAATCTTTAGATAAAGACAGTGGAAAAAGCACTGGGTTTTTGTAATAAAAATCCTGGGGTTGACTTTGCCACTTACAACCTGTATTACCTTAGGCAAGCTGCAAACTTTTTGGGCCTCAGATTTTTTTTATCTGTAAAATGAGGGGTTTGGGTCAGATGACCTCTAAAGGAACCTTCTAGCTTCTGTGATTCTTGAGGGATAAGCAGTGATATGTTGGTTTTGTGTTTTTGCATTGAAAACAATTGTGTTTTTGCATTGAAAACAATTCACCAGCTAAATTGGGTTCCTCTGATCCTTATCCCATTCCTCCATTTTCCCCTTCATGTAGCCAACAAAAGAAGACACCAGATCCAAGATTCTGTAGGATCCTGTTAGATTTAGGTGCTGAATCTGTATTCCAAACTGAGAAACTAAATGGAGATAAAAGGCACAATCCATTTGATTTCTTTTGAGCATCAAACTTCTTTGGATCCAAAGTTTGAAGATGAACTCTGGAAATACTGAAGGAAACATTAATCAGTGCAAAGTCAGGTGACTTGAAAGGAAGTCATCGTGGGAAGGAAGACTTTTTGTTTTTCTGAGCCACTCTAAAGCCTTGAGAGAGAAACAAAGGAGACTATTTCTTTGAGCTCCTACACACTAAACTTTAGTTTCAGGTTTTCTTATTTCCTCCCTTATGTAGATAGCTCATTCTGACCTCCATACTTTTGCTTGCAAAGTTTCTACCTTCCTGTTTCTCTTTCCTGATGATCCCAAGCCTATATTCTCTTAGGATCAAGACCTACCACTCTTTATCAGGGAACTTTCCCTTATCAGTCCATTAATGACAACACACAATTGAAGATTTGACTATGTGGGATTTTGCGCTCTCTGGTTGTTTTCTGTGTTTTTCTTGTGTTCCACAAAAAATTGTAAGTTCATCAAAACCCAGAATTCTTCTGTCTTTCACTGCTTCTTCATCCCCTTCCATGACCTAGTACAGCTCTGGGCTCACAACAGTTGTTTGATAAATAGTCATTGACTAGAAATAATTTTATTATCTTATAACAACTTAAATTGTCAGTAGCTCTGAGCTAGGCAGGCATTTTGATCAGGGATGAAGTTGTTGGTTCACAGATGGTGTTGTAGGTGAGGGAATGAACCAAAATGAGGAGCTAAGATTTCTGGATTCTCTTTCCTGGTTGGCATCTGCCCAGACAGGTGACTTTGGGGACCTGAGCATCAGGTTACCCCTCTGTCAGATGAGTAGTTGGAAAACAAGAATCTCTCCCTCAGAGGAGAGTTGTGATAATTACGACTTATAAAGCATTTTCTGATTCTTAGATATGAAAGAGCTAATTATTGTGATCATTAATAATTCTTAATTTTTATCTTCTTTTGAGGTAAATTATCTTCATGTTAATTGCACCCCCACCCTGGTGGTAATTACACCTATGAGAGTCAGCAGATGCTTTAATCCTACGTCATGGAAGAAGAGAAGAAGGTTGTCATAAGGAGAAGTGGAGTTCCTGCTGACCAGGTGCCAGGGCCCCAGAGGGGCCATTGTCAAGGCTCCCATGTCTCACCCGGGGTCCAGAGCGGCTGAAACTCCTACATCCTTTTCACTCTTAGCCAGGTCAAATGTTTTACAAGATTCTTTTTCTGTCCTATAACATACTTTTCTCCAAATCTAGCAGCTTTTTGGGGTCCCAGAATCTTATTTCAAGGCACACTTAATTGCATAAATGAATTAAATTCCTAGAGGAGGACTAGTACCAGAGCAAGGGAAAAAGCAAGGGTTGCCAAGATTTCCCAGAGGATTCTTCTTCT